TTTTCTCATCAGAGAAAGAGAGAGAGGCAATCCTTTATACTCAACCAGTAGCTGTTTACCACTAAATCGAGATGTCACATTAACAAATAGGAATATTATTCAGGAAAAGGATTGCCGTGGGTCGACATACCTTGGTTAATATTGGCCTTAATATGACGGGAAGAACCAGTGATGTAACCGGGGTCTCATCGCCCATTGTCATCCTTCACCGTGTGTGTTGTCGCTCGAGATGTCGAGAATTAAAACGATTCGGTCGCGAGTCGATTCGGACGAGGCGCACGAAAAGTCGAGGCCGCTTTGCAAAACGGTCGCAGCAAAAGGGTTGTTTACACGCGACTGGCACGAACACAGCTCACCAGCATAACTCTTTCTCTATGACAGCTGTCACAATAGGCGCTAGACACGCGGAAACGAGGTTACCCGGCGCTGCCAACATTATCCGAACGAGTCGAAAGTTGTCGCGGCCTCGCGCCGTCATTGGTCGTCGCAAATAGGCTCGCGCTTCTCATAGCTGTGAACTTTTTGTACCGACTCTTTCTCCTCGTAATGTCTAATGTCTAATGATAAATCTTTCTCATTTTAACTTTGGTCAAACATCTTATTAATGTAATCGGCGATTAATTCAACCGGCAGGTATTCATTTCTATCGATATAGATTAATTTTAATTTCAGTTTAACTCTATCCTTTTTCTAATTCTTTAGAAAAAAAAAAAAAAAAAAAATAAAAGAAGATAATTTAAAGCGAGATTGAAGTTGAGTCTTCATTGGTCGAAATGAATATTAAAATAAAATTAAAATAAAATTTTTAAATAATTTGCAATCTTCCTCTCTGTTGCGTTTGTCGCATAGTTGTATCTTTAAAAAAATATATAAGAATATATATAAATATATATAATTGTATATATTTATATATGTTCTTATATGAAAAATTTTATATGTGGATTTCGTCTTCAAAACGTGAAAACGTGAAACTCTTGTGCTATTTCAAGCACAGAAAAACCTGCGAGATACGCAAGTTAAACAGACAGGTCCAAATGTTACTTCCGTATCGGTGAAATCTATGACAGGTAACTCGGGCTCCCGTGAAAGGTCACTTGCACTCGTTTCAAATCGATTCGCGTTAGTAAGATCTCTTCCTCTCTTACGGTTGAAGCCGCGATATCACGAGTTTAGAAAGAGACTCTTTAACCAATTAGTCACACCGCTGTTACTTCAATGATTATCATTCAGCTTCTCGCTCATCGCTTTGTATGTCGGTGCTTTTCGCACGATTTCTCTCTCGGATAATCAGTAACAAGATTCGCGATGAGAATAATTGCAGATGAAAAAAGAAAGACCACACTCCTTTCTTCTTCAATATCAGGTCTATTTTCCGAGACACCACAAATCTCTTCGTCACCATTTGAAGGAATTGGGTGATTTTTTCGCGTAACTTTGAGTATCGTAATCATGTCATTTAGATCGACTCCGATTATTTCAATTAATCAGCGATTAATTCAATCAACAGAATTGCATGTAGCAAAATTTAATCATATAGTTCATCATTTCTAATTTAATATTTTTTTCCATGTGACATATTTTTATAAAAATAATTTCATTTAGACTAATAAAACAATGAGATGAATTCCATTCGGACTTATTTTATTTTTTTTAAACATAATAAAAATGTAGGAAATAATTAAACAATTCTAATCGAAATCCGGTCTGAACAATTTTATTATATGTTCCCTGACATTGATTTTAATAAGTCATTCAAGGTTGTTGTTTCATTTCATATGAGAAATGCGCTTTTTGAATGCGCTGATTGATCAAGGCAAAAAATTCTCGACTCCAAATATTTTCTATTCCGTAGCCAATCAAAACAAATTTTTTGTATGAACAAAATATTAATCAAAGTTAATCGAAGTCGGAAGCCAAAATTTCACGGTATACCGATACAAGCAGTGGATGAAAATATGTTCCATCATATAAATTAAATAAAAATAAAAAAGAAGGCTTTTTATGAAAGATATTCAGAAAACGTCTGAAAATGATGTCTTAAAAAAGCCTTACATTTCGATTTTGAATTTTGTGTTGTCTAAATCTATTCAATGCATGACCATCTCGTAATCATCATACCATTACATTTCTCGTAATCATCATTATTTGCTGTGTTTCGTAACTCGAATTCGTTATAATATGTTATGTAAGATATAGACTATCGGTTGTCGATTTGCCTTTTTACAATTTGATACACACGCGTGATATAAAATATCACCACGAGATGGAAATATTACGACAGTTTACGATCGTTTCAAATTTTCAGATCGAGGATCGCGCATCACCTCGGCTAACTTCACTACGTTATGTACGCGCGCAACCGCGGCGACCGCCATTGCTACGATTCGAGTCTCGCGAGTGTGCAGCATGTAGCAACGCTCTCGTGTAGTATATTTTATTTTGCAATTTCATTGAGTTTTGCGGACGTATGCCGAAAGCGTTGTGGAGATCGAGGAGAGTCGAAAGTTCCCGTGGAAGTCGCGATCGTGCCTGTTCGGTATGGAAAATCATGTTCCGGGATGTTCACGACAAGGAAAGAAAGGAAAGAGGAAGGACAGACTTGAGAATGTAGAATGAAAAACCGAGAATCCGAATTTATTAAACAGGATACTTTTAGACATTCGATATAATGGAAAAGAAGGTACGTATTAATATTAAATAATTCATTACGGCTTCTTCGTCTTGGAAGATTTTGGAGAAAAGAAGGGGAGGGGGGGGAGAGAAAAGTAGATATAATAATATATTTCTAAGATTAATATTTCATATGTGATACAACAAAATTTTTGATTGATAGGATAGAGAATTTTTGGAGATCTGAAAATTATACTATTATAGAGCCAATCAACATATTCAAATATTTCGTATAAATAAAATATTAGATACTTCAAGAATAATTTATTTCGACAAGTATTCGATAAAAAAAATGTTATTTCAGAACTAAATAAAATCTTTGATCATAATAGAATATAATATTTGTCATGATTGTCAATTTTAAATACGTCCTTCTCTTATAATTTACATACCTAATATATCAGGAAAAAAGATTTCACAATGTAAACAACTAGGTGTTTTTTTTAACTAAAAAATTCAAACTTTTATGGATTAAATAATTATTACGGATTAAAATAAATTCCATTAATTTTTATAACTCTAGCTTTCGGTCAACTGTTGGATTGCAAAGAAAGATGAAGGTTAATAAAAATCATTAAATCTGAAGGCACCAAATTAATTTACTCACTTAATACAAAATCACAGTAAGAGATTTCGCAAGATTAGAGATAAAATTGCGCGAGGGATAATTGCGATGGTCTTGAAACGCGAAAAATGTATGTATAAGTGTGTTTCAGTATTGTTAAGAAAAAAAATTTTTTTCTTTTTATCGCATTGACGTAAGTAATGCAGTCGCTTTTTATATGAGAAAAGAAACTTTATTGGTAACACAGAGACGTCGAAATACGTATATATATATATATATATATAAACAGCGTGTAATAAAAGTAATAAAAATAAATATTAACAGCGCACAGGCACGCCGTTATTTCGTGAGTCTTACGGATAACGAGTCGGAATCGCGACGCATTCTCGATTATTCGCGATCGAGAGTGCATCGCGAATAAAGTCGAGAGTATAGCTATGATAGTAACAGTAATGATAATAATTTTAACAATAGCAGAGAAAATGGGTGAATCGTTCCTTGAAAAGACGACGCCTGAGAACGAGGTCGCTTTTATAATCTATCTGTATTGTATATTCATCTGTTCTATTTTTTATATGAATCACAGTGTTACAAAAGTTTTGTCTACGGCCTTGTCCGACGTTACTGAAAATGCGAACTGCATGTGGGAAACTGATTTCCTCAGATTTCAAGATCGCAGATCGCAAATCGAGATTGTATGTTATTGCGAAATATACATTATTTCGATATATGAGTTAGCACGCAGCTAAACTGGTCGGGTTTAATCGCAATAGTTGTGATAATCATGATTATTATATCGCTAATCGTAATTGACGTTACATTAAGATTATATAATTCATTATTAATTCACTATTAACTAGTTAAAACATTCTAACGCATGTGTCTCTCTTTTACACATTTATGAATACCGGCACTTAACTATATTTCGCAATTTTCTACACTCAAGATTATACTGGCAAATGTTTTAGAATTTATCATTTACTCTTTGATAATTAGGTCCTTATTCTTATTCCTAATAGTAAAAAGTGTACAATAGTAAATAGATCTTCATACTACACACACACACACACACACACACACACACACACACACACACACACACACACACACACACACACATATATATATATATATATATATATATTATTGCAATTTTGTAAAATTCTACAGTCGTTCTCTCAGAGAAATTCGCTAATCTGTTTTCTTTTTTTTTCCTTTTTATCATAAGCAAAATGAAATATTATCTATAACAGACTCGAGCACCGGGTCGAGATTTCGTTACACGCTTAGTTACACACACGTTACACGCGTTTATGCTTCTGGTACTAACGTAAACGACACACGATCAATTTGACTATGAATCTCTTCTAGTCCAGAGAATTACATGGCACATTCGATCGGGCTTTGTCCCATCGAGGATTCGTCATAACAGGATCACCAACGGTATCGCGTGCTTACGAAATCCGATTTTGCCATCAGAGGCGTATTCTCTGACGGCGAGGAGCCGCGCGGAATTCCGTCGTGAGCGCAACGTTAATTAGCAATTGATTGTCCGCGGTTCGCTGTTCACGCGATGAGCTACGACGTCTGTTCTGCTCCTTCATCCTTATCGCTTAACCGCACTCGCGTACTTGTTTTGCACGCGCGACACGAACACTCGCTCGTGCTATTTCTGCTTTATCTTAAATTATTTTCGCGGCCTCGTTCGCGGGGAGACACTTCTCATGGCAGTCGATTTGTAATCTACACTAATCGTCCTTAATTGACGAAATCGATAGGCGATTGGAGCCAATCGCATGCGACAATATCACGTGTAAGTCCAAGTTCTGCTACATCTCACACGAATTCGCCAGCGACAGTGGGCAGATCGACGAGAGTGATATCATCGATTGTGATGAGGAATAAAACGGAAATCTTTCAAACTTTCTCGTTGTGTATGTATGTGTTTATTTGTTTGTGTATGCGTATAGCAGATCTATCGAGATTTATTTTTAAAGAATCAATATTTCTATAGTGTACAGTAAAAAAAATCTCGATATATCAAATCTGAATTTAAGAGCTAAATCGTGATTAATTCCATTTCGGAATGGCAGTGATTCACAGAATTGTTTTTATTCCATGTGTATATGTATATATTAAATGCTCTGAAATGTGTTTACACGCTCTGCCACTATATTTGTTATATCCTTTGACATCGTGCGTGCAAGACAATCAATGTTTCCACACGCGCACTGACGATTATATTTTCATGTTCGCATGTTTCGATTCACCATTTTCCGCAGGCCGATTAAATTAATTATTGCTCTACAATTAAATCATATTTTAAAGTTCATCTTGTTCATCAGTTTAAGGAAAATTCACGAACATGTCTTTTCTCATACGAACTATCTTCTTACTAACTTCTATCTTCTGCCTTCTTACTAACTCTTCATACTTTATCTCGAATATTTAAGTCCTCGATTTTTATCATATACCTAGTGTACATATAACTAAGTGTCATTTCGATATATTACCGCTGCGATAATACGAATCTTTCGCACAAATATTGACTTAGACTTTTATAATATCGCATTAGTCGTCACCTCTTCCTCCCGTTAATTCCAGGAAAATGTTGATAATAATTTCCACAGATTGTTAGTCGTAGAAATCTCACGTGAGACCGTGGAAAACTGACTGAATTTCCTGGAACGATATAAAATTAAATTCTATCTGGAACTATATCGAAGCTTCGATCGACGTGATCTTCTTCATCGTCGTGATCTTTCTTCGATGAGATCAACACGTGGGATGACAATTTGTTGCACAATTTCTCCTCAGAATTCGATGCATCTGTCACTTTTCCATGGAAATGCGAAAAATGTTTTATTTAATTTGACGGAATGACATCAGTGCTTCGGCGAATGCTCGTCATTCTTTGTCAACGACATCGGGTGAGATAACTTTTCCGCTGTGTGATGAAACATACATATCACCTCTATCGATATATAATTGCAACGATGGCGTCTGAAACCACCACCCTTCTTTCTCGAACGGTCCTCTTCAGCATCGAGTTTGTCGGCGATTTTAACGAAGGGATCGCGAGATCGCTTCTCCGCGATCGATTGTTGACCGTCGTCGGCATTGAATTGGGCACGGTGATCCTCGTCAAGAGGATGGGCCTTTCCGCGATTTCCTACGCTGGCGCCTGCACCATCGGCCTGTGGATCGGCACCGAGATCACGTAGATGTCCAACTTCTCTCCGGACGCCTTGTCGATCTCACTGTAATTGACGGAATCATAAGAAGGCGGGGCGAACAGGTGATAGGGCGGCGGCGGGGTCTCTGTAACACCGGTCGTATTTATCGTCTCCGCACGTTGCGCGTAGGGCACCGTCAAGGGTCGTCCGCCTCGTCGACAGCACCACTCGGAACAGCTGACAATGAGGAAGAATGCCACCAGGCCGCCGAACGAGCCGATGTACCAGACTATCGACCATGGATCCAGCGGGTTCTGCAGGTCGCTGTTGACTATAACAAAATGGGGACCTGTGTGAGCGAGGAGCTCATTAATAATTAGAAATATTTTAATTTCATAAACTACGCTCATGCGAAGGGATCGTGCATTCAGAATAGCCGCTTTCCAAGAGACACAAATCGACATAGAAGTCATTCTGTGTGTCTTTTACTATCGAATATCGAAAAAGAAGCAGAATGATTCCTGCGTCGATTTATGTTTCTTGCTGGAAAGCTTTCAATGAGTACAACGAAATAATACATTCGCATGAAAATAATTAAAAAAAAAAAAAAAATCAGAAAATTCTTCGTATGTATACACGGTTAAATATTTAAAATAACATTGTAAAATTTAAGGATTATTGAAAAACTTGGAAGATCGGAAATTTTATAACTGAACTTTATGAAGAATGGAATTTTATGAAGAAATATTTTTGATATATTGTTTACGCGAAATCAAAGCGACAAGAAATATATTGGGCAGTCGTGTTTTCACTTGAGATCCATGTTACTCTTTTGTTACTCTACTTAAAATCCTCGATAAAAATACGAGAAATGAATATCGAATTTAAAATTAGCTTGGCGCTTGTTCGTTACTGAAGTATCAGCAGAATATCAAGAGTATCGTTAGATACTTTTTCAAATTTATATGTTGTAATACAATTTACAAATGCTCTTTGTCATCATACGCAATGTGTTTCTTCTACTCTATACATGCCTAGAAAAAACCGGCAGGTGGCAATAGTAGCCAAAAGGTGCAATGTTAAGTAACGATTTCATATTTGTGCGACACGATTAGATGCATATTTTGCATTCTTGACACTTTTGGCTTTTTTACGGCACGAATGTCATGCGGAAAAGTTTTAAGTCTTCTTTTTTCCGATCGACAATGTATGTGCAAAGCGGATATTCTCGATCGTCATTAATGCGTAATGTGTACAATGCAAAGTCAGAAAGGCGATGCAAATGAAGATGAAACTACTATACATTTGCATAAATCCTTGGCGCGTGCGACGCGAATTGTTCCTCTGTAGGTGTGATTTTACGCGGAATGCGCGCGAACTTGAGAGCTTGATTTCAAATCTCGTTTCATATCACTTTATCCAGCTAAGCGATAAAATCAATTTTTTAAAGTATAACACAACTTCATACAATAACATCGCAAAAAGAATGACATCATGACGTCATTCTTTTTATAGATATAAATAATATTTCTGGAATTATTGCGTATTGTAAATCACAAGTTAATTTACTTTATCTTAATAAATTAATAACTTTTTTAATCTGGTTAGATATTTAAAAAGTTAAATCTCAAATTTTTCGATACATTTATTATTATTTGTTACACATTATAAGTTTATTGAACATTCTATTTTGACTAATATTTTATAGCTTCAATTAATGAAGTCATATTTTTTTCTCAATATCTCTCGCATGATATTCACGGAGAATTAGATTAGTGTCGAGTCATAAAAATGAAATGTTATGTCGCGCTTCATGGCAGATAAACTTAAATTTGACAATTTGTCACAGAAAAATGTTACAGAGGTCAAGAATGCAGCGCGATACTGACGGAGCAAAGTAGCATTTCGCAGTGATAATTCATTCGCATCATCAGTAATGTGTATAAATATTGAGTGAAACGTCGAAGGTCACGGCTTGAATAATTATGCTAATAATTATGCTATTTTTTTTTAATAATTTTTTACCTTCGTAAGTACTTGATATTAATGCAAATACAGAACAAATATAAAAAGTATGTATATCGGTATGTTTTTTCGTGTATTCGACGATAAATATTCATTGAAATATTATCCGAATGGGATATTCGGAAAACGTAATTCCAAATTGCAACGGAAAAAACGCGATGATCCGCGATGACACGAGGATGATGCGCGATGCTACTGCTGTGAAGTCATTCTCGTATACGAAAACATAAATATGATTCATATTCTTACCATTCTCTGCCGCGTCTCTTTCTTTCTCCGTACTTTCCTGTTTTCCCTCGAATGCAATCACATAGACCGTCTCGCGGTCGTCGTCGTCATCGTCGTTGGATTTCGAGTCGACCGAGTGACTCCGATTGTCATTTGTACCGTGAGTCGCTTTATTGCTCTCCATTCGTCTGTCAGCACCGATGCTGTAACTCGACACCGCGTGAGCTACGACAAATTGTAATCACTTAATTAATTGCACTTAACTTTGTGCGTATAAATGCATATGTTATTCTTTCTGAATCAATTGCGCTCATTTCATCCTTTCACTCTACAAGTATATGTATATTTAAAAACGTAATATAGTTTTATATTCAAAATTATTTTTAAAATATCCTCAAAACTTTTAATTAAATATGGCAATTATTTATTAAAATATGATTATCATAGTCTGAAATGTAAAATCAAAATATAAAATTTTTATTTAAATTGTTACATGTTTATTAATAAGTAATAATTTTCTTTTTCTCTCTTTCTCCCCGTCTCTGTCTCTCTTTCGGCTTTTCTTTTCTAAAAAAAGCTTTGGAACGTCGAAGTGCAGTACGTATGCCGTTATCTGGCATATCGCATTCCCGAGTAAGACGCAACTACGCGCATATATCGTGCAAAACCTCAGGGCTGAAAATGTTAACATCAAACAAACAACTTCGCCTGTCGCTCGTTAACCTGCATCGCGACTTCGAAGTATTTCTCGTGCCGTTTGTTACGAGGCGTAGGCTGTGAAGTCGATGCACATCGCAGGCGCCAGTCTTGCTTTTGTCACGTATACAAATGATAGTGGGAAAACTAATTTGTGGAAACAAACGTAGGTGATGATTAAGGAGTCATCGTGGAGGAGTATTGCTCGTAAAAACTTGATGAAGTAACAAACGTTACGTTAGTTATTTCATAGATGGAAATTTTTCATAGTTTCTTTGGTTTCTTCTAAACATCAGAGACGAACACAGTCAGATCGAACAAATGAATTTGATACATGTATAAAGATTTTCAGTCTCTGAAACAAATCTCTTTCCCTTTAACGAGATTAATATACGACCTATGGTTAACAAGTTTGAAAATTACTTCGTTTATAGGATTAATAGTTAACTTTGTACGATTAAATTCATTTTTGGGAAATCACCTTAATATTAACTATCGAAGTTAATACTACCACTTCAATTATAAATGATCCAGAAGGAAAGTTTTGCAAGTTTATAAAAATCGACGATTGCCTCTAATCCTTAAATTTTTTTTTATCTGTCTAATAGCATTTATTTTGACATATAAAAAAATTATAAATAAAAGAAAGAAGTTTAATGACGTCTCAATAATTTCAATTTACGCCAACAGTTAAATATTTTTATTGCCATTCACTCTTAATAAATAAATAAATAAATAAACTTTTTCCGTTTTCTATTAAATTGTACATATCAGGAAAAATTTTATTGCCGCTTCGTGCTATTTTTAGCTCATTGTTAGGCATTGTAAAGTGACGAAGCGTAAAATCGATCGAAGCTTCGAGCTTCCTTTTCAAAGAGAAAGAGAGGAAGATAAAAAGAAAGAGAGAGAAAGAAAGAACGCCGATATTGTTGTACTACAATTTCTTAAAGTGAGGCGTGGCTGATGCCTTTTAGTTTTCCCAGAATCTCACGTCTCTACCCTGACACGATTATGCGCTACTTAGCAATACCGTCCAATCAGATTTCGCTTCGGCTTTATGGGCAAAATTACTTACGTACATAAGAACATGTAACGAACCGCGTTTAGGACTGCTTTCGCGTTAAGTGCAAATCCGGTTTAATACGCTAATTCGCTATAATTTTCTAATAGGCTATGAATATGTTTTAGTATATTAAGACGTATTAATTTCATTGTCACATGATTCGAAATTTATTAAGATTAATATATCGAGTTGATTAAATGTTTATGATCGAAATGATGACAACTGCTATTTCGATAAATAATTCTTTTTATTCGGTTGTATTAATAAGTTGCTGGATATATTAAGAGATTATGTATATTAAATAAGAATTTTATATTAGATGAACTTTTCATATAAATTTTATCTTTACGTTCATATAAATCGATAGATATTTTAGGAGAAGTGCTCGATTTACGGTATTGGTGGAGATGATTTCCTGTAAACACAACCGTTTTCCGTCTGTTGATCCGTGTAGGTTGTCATCGAAGGTCATACGTAATTAAAGACGAAGCCATGTGGGGGGGGGGGAGGCAGAGGGATTCAATCATGATACTGAACATGTATGTATATCCATTATTTTCCGCCAGCTCATCGTCGAAATCAGCTTTGTAGAGTTTACGTTTCACGGATCACGTACACTTTTCTACTTAAAAAGAAACGATTACGGAAAACGGATTTCCACCGATAGAAACATAGGAGGTAATTTAAGTCGGCGGATGAAAACCTTGTGATTTTTATAGGATGTGTGCGGCTGACGTAATTGCCGCGGCAATAAAACGGCTATATGCGTGAGGACGATTCGAAATACTATTTGCCTTTGTTCCGCGATTTACGGTCGCCGGGATGTCGCGCACGCATATGGCAAACGGTATCATTAGCGTCGTTACGATATTATGCGACGGGCGTTGCGTTTACGTAACGGCTCTTTCTTAGGCGCGATCGCGAGTCACGTTTCCAAACGATCGATGTTCGAGCAGAGAGCGAACAGCCTCGACTACGCCCAAAATGTAAATCTTTCACCTATGACCAATGACCGGCGAAGCTTACAAGGTAACACATTATATATTTTATGCCACGATGATATTCTAGGCACATATATATGTACACCTCGGTCAGATCACGTGCTGGAACTCGATCTGTTTTGAGCTGTCTGTCGATACTCGGCGGTATCGATAGTGTTTCTTTGTCTTCTCGGACTTGCAATAGTCTTTATTTCGTCGCGACTCGAAATATGTATGTACATCACGTCTCAAGAATAACTCAACCGGGAATGAGACATCGCAACGATTGTTGCTTATTCCTGACAAAATACTTAAATCCATTTCTCAGTTTTACTGTTAGCGACTATGCTGTAAATAGAAGACCGGTTTCCCACTACCCGTGTTTATCCTACTTGAAAATATCCGTTAGTAAATATATATGAAAGATTTTATTTTAGATAACACGCATGAAAATATGCCGGGTTGATATTTAAGTGTACATAAGAAGGGGAGAGAGAGCAAATAATCATTGGAAGCGTCATTGTGCGTACGCCTGTTGACATTGTCGCGGCATATTTATTGTATCATTGTTAAGAAGCATCCACTTAACGTCGTTCGCACTGATAAACTCTTCACGCAAACTTTTGAACTTCGCAACGGAAGTCTGTTTAAAGCTTTCGCGTTCAAGTATCTCCTCATGAAAACGACTCCTATCGCGCGGATGTTGTTTGTAAAGTTTTACCCGGTGCAAGACTGTACTACATCGTGGTTATGGAGACACCGGCTTGATCGAAATATTTGCGAAACTTCAGGCAGCAACGAAATCGAGATAAATCGCGACGGGCGATATTTCATGATATCTTCCGGACAAAAGTCTCGCGAAGATTATTGGAATCTAACATAATCAGAAAAAAAAACATTTTACAAGGTCTTATTAATTTAAACGTAAATATCTTTGGGGCATTACGGAAATTTATTTTTTGCTCGTATTTTTATATTTTTTATCAACATTTTTCTTTTAACACCAAGTTTACTTATAGGTTATTCTTCCACAATATTTGAATTACTTTTTTTTTTTAATATCTCTTTATTGATTTTTACATAGCTTGTAAGATTATGTATCTTACAATTAAAAGTTTTATAAGTTATCAAAGAGATAAATGTCATAAAGAGTCGATTATCACAAGGATTAATTTTCATACCTTTCTTTCATTTCTAAAGTATACATTTACCATGTGATTAGATATACTCCTGATGCATCTACGTGCATGCGTTATCGTAATGTAGAAAAAATACGCTTATGTAAATATAACTTAAGTAAGGTTTGATGTGTTTTAATGAATAAATTCGATTCATTGATTAATGATTTGCTATTCACAAGATTATTTGTTAAATCCACAAAATGCATTTTTCGATCACCTTACATTCGCCATTATTATTATAATTTTTAAAGTAATGCAAAAATCTAATTTTAAGATATCTTAAATTTAATGAAATACGAAATAATATAAATAGATTAATCGAAATGAATTTTATGAAACCAGATATGAATTTTTGAAACCAGATGAATTTTGAACTATTATGAATTTTTGAAACCAGATTTCACATTTCTTCTTATTTATTAATATTAAATTGTTGTATAAGTTTTATTTGCTGATATAAATACAAGTTAATTTATAATATATTGTATCCGTATTCTTTTTTAAATTTATAATTTCTTGTATCAGTATTTATACTTTATAATTTTCCGCTTTTTATGTCTGTTGAATATTGTCATCACTGCTCGTGTTTGCAATAAATTTTGCAAATCATCGATGACAGGTGCGAATGTTTATAGTACCAGATACGCCATACAAACCATTTCTTTTTCTTCACTTTTTGCGGTTTATGGCCAAATTAAAATTCGAAAAGCAAATCTTATCCGAACTGCATTTTAATGGTCATTATGTATGTATATATGATACACCGGAGCGATGATAAAAAATACAATAGTTCGACCTTCTTTACATCACGTTAAGATAATGTCGCGTTTGTATTGAAGTTTCTTAGAAGCGATAAGATTTTGTATTTATAACAACTATCGGATAAAGTTTATGCAGCGATATATGAAAACTTGCTACATATTGTCTGACAGAAAAGTTCCGAAACTAGCAATATTGCAAACACTGTGATATCGTATGTGATATAATGTATGTGACATATCGAAAAATTTTTAATTCTGCAGAACTTTAACAGAATTGATTGTGATTTTTAATATATTTTCACATTTCCTGATATTCTGACGCAACAGAAAAACAATAAAAATATGTTATGAATTACGACCGATTTCAACAAATTTTCGCATACAATTGTTCAGTTATCGTATTACACATGTAACAATATTATCATACGAATTTTTTTATTAACTATATATATATATATATAAGTTAAATATATATATATATATATATATATATATATAAAACAAAGAGAAATATCGAGACATCGGGACATTAGGAATGCCGTCT